TTTGCACGGTGGGGGTGTGATGGCCCTAATCGTTCATTCATGGAATGGGTTCTTTTAATAATTTGTTTTGATTTTATTTTTGGAATATGTTGCAAAAATTGTTCTTTGCATTTTAGCGCACACAAGATACACACAATTACTGTCAACCAGTCTTGTTTGACAATGTTCGGCAACGTTTTTAAAGGGTTAGAGACTTTTTTGCATTTGTGGGTATGATTATCGATTCTATACAAATAAAGATGCGATTTCTATTGTAGTATTTTTGTTATTTTGTTAGCTGATGATCAATAATGAAATCGAAACGTACGCTTATTCTTTCCTGCGACTTAATATTCATATTGTTGTAATTAAAGTTCTTTTTTCATTATTTAATACTTTTTTATTAGCATTTTTTATTAACATTTTGTGGATTATTTTCTATGTTGACTCTCTGTTCTTTTTTTATGTATTTTGTTTTAAATTTCGAGAATTCATTTATCTTTGTGAATTTTAATATAAATATGTTTTGATTACCTGTTTCGACAAATACTTGAATACTTTTGATTTTGATATCCAATTCATGAAAAGCTTTGTTTAATTTAGATGAAATCTGAATTCTTACATCTTGTAAATTATCCAAAATATCAACTATTTTAGAAGATTGTGTTGTTATTATTGGATACAATGTCATTTCAAATTTTGTTATCCACGCTAATGTCTATAATAGAACAAATCGATAATAATAAAAATTAGTAAAAGAGATAATAAATAGCATTTTTATGAGCTCTTTCCTATTGAATTTTTTCTAGTCTTATTTTAAATAAATAAATAAATAAGAATAAGTTAAAAACTGATCCTACAAATAAATTAAATCTAAATACAAAGGCATAGTAAAAAATGCTGACAACGTAAAATTAGAAATCACACCTCTTTACTCTCTTCTATTTTTTGCTCACATTCCATTCGCCTTTGTCTTATTACTTGGACAGTAATCTGCCATTTTTTCCTCCATTCTATTATAATTAATTGCCGATTGACAAACTTTTCTAAAAGAGTTTGAACACACACACAAGCTTGCGATACATTGAGATAAAAGTCATCAATCTATCAAGAAAGAATATCAATTCAATTTTTGAAAGAATATGAATACATCTTTCTTATAATATATTATATAATAACATTTCTCTTATTAAAATTATAAAATTAAAGAATACATTATAAATTACTTACGTTGTTTATTTCATTGAGAAATGTCTTTGCGTGATTATCAAGTTTTTTGTAAAGAGACTCAAAAGATTTCCATCTTTCTTCTATTTCATTAAACCTAGCCTCATCTAACACATCTTCATGCTTTTTCAGTTCGTTATCGATAAAATCCATTTCATAAGTCAGTTCGTTCACAATTTCATAGAACTGTATATAAAGGGTATTCAATTTGATTCTTTTTACTATTGTAATCTTTGTTTTTGTCCATTCGTCTTCAAGATTTTTTATTTTTAATTGTAATTCGTATTTTTGTATCTCGTCCAGGCGTTCTATAATTGGAAGAATTTCCAGCTCTAAATGATCTACCTCCTCACTTTTATTTTCCAATTCGGCTAATAATTGGCAGTGAGTTTGACGAAAATCACACGCCATTGCCAAATCGCTGCCCATATTTTGATGCTTTTGGAGAAAGACTTTAACAATATCAGTTAGCCAAGCTTGTAAAGTATTATGCTTATCTAAAAATGTAGTTAGTATTCTCGAAATCTCTAAATTTTCTTCCTTATGAACTGTACACCGTTTCATCAAAGAAAATTTGCGATTTTCCAATTTTTCTACAGCATTTCTTACACCCTGTAACAAACATGATATATATACACACACACATATATATATATTTGATGTTAGTATATATTACTCAACCGCTATATTACTCTATAAATAAAATATAACAAATAATAAAGACAATAATATATAATAATATATAATAAAAAATTAATAAACAGATAATTTATAAAATTAATAATATTTAAGAACGTTTAAAAAAACCTTCAGCCTTTATGTGATAGATAGTAAACATTATAAAGTAAAAAAGTCTTAGTGAACATAGAAGCTCAACCGTTTTTGAGATATTTGAACAATTTTATTAGTATCATAATTGACTTATTGTCTTTTCTACATGTTGTATACGATGTAAAAAGAGGGAAATTGAGATAAATAGCACCAATAGCCTATTTGGGAAAATTATAGATTCAATAAAGTGATCTCCCATAATGTCCATTCGTAATAGCTGATTCGTAATGGTTGATATTAATTTATTGATTCTCGGAGAAATTTTTAATTATAAAGCAATATATGGAAATTAAATAAAAATATTCAGAAATGTAGTTTGTAAATACTGAGGTAAATCTTCATATACCATATAACAAGTAGTGTAGAAGTCAATATAAGTCAGGTATAATAATTGTTTATGGCTTAGAAACAACTGAATTTTCAACTTATATTCATAAGATTTTTTATCTGTACTATCTATCATATAAGAATACTGAATGGTATTTTTTTAATACCCTGTTATATATTAGTGCGATATAGCCATCTTATATCAGCATATAATCCTTTCATTGATAGCTTAACTCGCGTAGTAGTAAATATAATTAATTATTCAATTGATCTGACCTCGGCACCAGGTGCTTCTCTTCCCGTAATATCTAATAATGCATATCCTTCTGACAATGGCTTTGAAATTACGTCTTCTATCATAGCCACTATTTGTGCATGAAGACGTGCGAGTCGTGGAGAATAAGAAGGATATTCCGTTGTTATTAATTGAATTTCTAACTGGTCCAGTTTTGTGATAGCCTAATGCATTGAATATTAGTAAGTTTAAATATACTCATTAAATTATAAAACGTTATATTATTTCATTGATTAGTCCATTATAGATAATTAGAAAGTTAGAAAAATTTACCGATTGTACCAAATCAAAAAAAGCCGTTGTTTTATCCAACAACAGGTTATATTGGTCTAAATCGTTAATATAATCGGTAGCGGTGCTAAGAATCGCAAACGCCTGCTCGGTCGCTTGTTCACCTGCAAAGTGTCCCGATGACACTAATCGTTCGGTCGATTTAGTTATTTTAATAGCTTTATCTTGAAATTCCTAAAAAGCAATGAGTTTTTCTTTTAAAAGAGCGTATTACTCTGTACAGTGTGTTTTACACACACACACACACACACACACACACACACACACACACACACACACACACACACAC